TTTAATGTAGCCAACTCATTCTGCAATAAGCTATAGATTGGTCCAAATGGTGGTCGAGCTCCTTCTTGTAGATCAATTGAAGAAGCATTAGGTTGATGCTCGAGGAGAATATCTGCATTTTTCTTTTCAAAAATATCTTAAAATTCTTGATATTGCTTAAGAATACCACTTGACATTGTTTCACTATTAGAAATGGGTGTAGCATATATAACAAAAGATGATCATTGTTTTGCAGCATGCATGAAAGCTTTTGCACCTACTAGTAAAGATTTCAACGTATTGGACTTACGTACTTCTACTTTGCTAACGCAACCTTGGATTATACTATCAAAAAAGTTAAGATTATGAGAAATCCAATTTATTTGAAGGTTATATTTTTCTAGCCATGACAATCCTAAAATAATCGGATTAGAGGGAGATTTTATTACATTATATACTACTACGCTATTATGATCTTTAATTTTTATATCTAAAGGAATAGCTTCATGGGTAACATTTCCAGAAGACAACAAACGATCATCTATGACTTCTACATGTACGGATTAAACTTTCTTCACTAAAGGTATTTTTTGATTTTTGGGCAAAATCTTCATTTATAAAACATGCTGAGGCTCCTGAATCTAACAAAGCAAAGACTTTGTGATTATTAGGTCCTAAATATACTTCTATTATAAAATAAGATGAGGGGTCTGAGGAGAGGATAAGACCTTTACTAGGTATTGCACATGATTCTAGCCGCACAGTCCCTATTGTACTTGGAGAAACTCGTTTTCTGACACATTATCTTCTTTGGTAATTGTGCTCCTCATTTTATAATTATGTTGCTTCTTTGGATAATATTGAGTAGTGTGCTTAGCTTCTCCATAATATAAATATAATCCGTTTTGGCGATGATGAGACTTTCTTTGCTTTGTGAGAGGTTTAAAATGTAACATATCAATTTGCATTGGTTCCGGCTTTGACAAATATGTTTCAGAAAACTTGGGAGCTGCTACCATTACTTGACTTATTCTTCTCTAACCAAATCTTTGTTCTTAATGCCTTTTAAATAAATAATTGTTGCATGTAATGGCTTGAGTAATAAATTATTTCAAAGATTCTACTTTCGGCATTATTAATAACAAATCTTTGACGCTATCCTTCAATTCATATCAAAATTGGTTGATAAGTGCTTTGTTGTTCCAATCCATGTCGCAAACAAGATTTTGGAATTTGGCAGTATATGTAGTAGGTGATTGTGATCCTTGTCGTAAGAATAAAAGCTTGGTCTTTGCTACTTGTTCTTGATTACTTTCTCCGAATATGGCCGTAAACACTTCTAAGAATGAATTCAAATCATAAAGGAGTCGTGAATCTTTTTCCATTGAAGGTGTAAACCAAGAGAGAGCACTTTCTGATAGTAGTGCGCCTATGAATCCGACTTGGATAAATCCATCAGGATATTGGAAAGAGTGCAACCTTAGATAGAGCTTGACTTGTTGCAAAAATCCTTGAAATTTTGATCTTGTTCCATGAAACTTCTTAGGCATAATAATCCTTATCCTTGTCATACTTGTAGAAGCAAAATTCCTTGGATTTGGTTGTGACGTTGAACTACTTGCTTCTTTCAACTACACAACTTCTTGTAGCAGACTCTGAACTTCTTCTATAGGCATAGGCATAGTACTTTCATGATTCACATTGGAAATATGAGAGATTTCTACTCTTAGAGTCTTGATAAGTTGATAAAGATTTACCATAGTTGTAAATCTTTTCTCACTTCCACTGAGAGTAGCATCCATAATCTTTCCTTCCATAGACAACTCAAATGAATTCAAAAGTTAAATTAGAGGAGGATAATTTGCAACCTCTACAAACAAATCTCACAAAGAGGGATAATCCACTTTCTTTAAAGAAAAGATCAGTGTTAGAAAATAAGATTTTTTGTTTAAAGGTGGATAGTCCACAACCTTCAAAACAAAACAATAGAAGTGGGATAATCCACCCACTTCTAAAACAAGACTGAAACAATATGTTAGCACTCTTGTCAAACTGTCAAGGACATGAATTTCGAAGAAAGAGAATCCTCAATACACTCTTCTATCACTGAAGAGAACTAAAAAGTCACTCAAAAGGTGATGTAATATTAATTAGAATAGCTATTGCCAAAAATAAGAAAGACTAGAAAGTCTTGAAATAAGACTAAGACTAAAAAGGCATTGATAAGAGTGAAGAAGGCTTGACTCTTGCCTCCATATATACTATCTAACTAAGAGCTACGTGGCAATGTCCTATAAGACCTCCAACATGTGTTGACTTAGGTAGCCACATGTCTTATCTTGTAAGGCAAGTTATCTATGTATGAGCCATGTAGTTGGCTTATTCCACAAGCTATTATATGGAGATAACTTGTTCCATAAGCTATATATACATGGTTAGCTTTTTGGCCAAGTTTCTAACCTACAAACACATCTAAAGTCAAAACCGAGTTTATGAAGCTTCTAAGAAGCCACTCTAGAAGACTTTATGAAATTATTCTATATTTACCTACTACTACTTAATCATATAAGTAACTATTGATGTAAATATATATGTCTATGACAACTATAAGCATCCATTTATTCTATGGCATAGATTGTGATTTATTTATTTATTTATTTCCTTGCATATTCTTAGTTATCAAATATGGATTAGTAAATTATTTTACTAAATTTGGATGAAGATTTTTGGAAAAGAATTCTCCATCTCCTAACATAGCTTTACAAAAATAAAACATGTTGTTAGATCATATCTTTCAATTCAATAAAAGTAAGGTTTAGGCTCAATCTTATTGTTTTAAAGAAGTTATGTTTTAAGGCTCATTTGGCATAAAGACGTGGCAATCAACATACGAGAAAAAAATAATGAGAATATTACTTCTGCATGTAATATTCCTTCTAAGTTTAATGTTTTCAAAAAAAATTAGTTGCTATTGCAAAGACTCTTTTAATAAAAAATATAGATTCAAAGGAACAAATTTGTATTTGAACAAGAAAAATAAAGAGATCTCTATAGTAGAAAATTAATTTTGCAAGGTCTCATAGATTATGGATAACTTAGGACTTCTTACAAAAACAAATAAACAAACATCCAAGACAAGATGTAGTTCTTTTTGAAATATAGAATAATTTTTGGATAGAAAAAAAAGGTTATATACTACAATTAATATGATAATTAAGTAAAACTTTAGAATTCTATATAGTGCTTTAATAATATACAAAATTATACTTCTTATGAAATAAGGCTACCTACTTTAAGTTATACGCTTAAGTCTAATTAATAGGATGTTAATAATTAATCTTTTATTTATTATTTTCTAAAAAATCAAAACATAAAGTATGCCTTGTCTTTGTGTCAAAGAAACAGAAAAAGAAAAAGAAAAAACATTCATATCTTCTAAAGGAATAATATTTTATAAAAAAATCAAATGTGTATATAAAAAGTCTTTCTGAATCAATGGAAAAAAGAAGAAATTATAATTTAGTGTTATATTAGAAGTAGGCATATAATAGATATTTTAGTTAAAAAATTAAAATAGTCCAAATTCCATTTCCAACTATATCATGTAGATCAAAATAAAGTTTATAAATAACAAAGTTTATTGGCAATTTTAAAGCAATATTTTTAGAATGCTTTTATGTTAGTAATGTTTTTAGTTTTTATTGTATGGACTTATAAATTTATAAATAATATATCATTTTTTTATTTATTTTTATTTTTCTAAATATTTTGACATTATCAACAAAGAAGAGAAAAAGATTTAATCTATCATGTATTTTATTTATTTTATATAAGAATATAAAATTATTTTTTGGAATGTATTAATATAACAAAATTTATTTTTGAATAACTTATCAACCAATCATGTTTGTATTTGAACTTCCAAACATACTGATCATAAAACTGTTTTATTTCAGTATTTCAAATCAAATTTAGATACTATTTTTCAAAAAAAACCTGCATAATCTTAGTGTTGATTATTTTTGGAGCACCAAGACGTTATTTTTATACATATGAAGATTTTTTAGTAAATTGAAGTAACACATGTAGATTATAATGCAATTTATGCATCAATTAGTAATGTCTAGAATATTATATTAATATGTTCTAGAATAATAACATAAATCCATTTTTGTTATTATTTAGAAGTTGTATAAGTTAGTAAAAATATTGTAATATAATAAAAATATTAAAAATCATTAAAGTATACATATTTTTAAAGAAATTGAAGTTTGCAAAGTCATACCATTGATTTAAATCATTGGTATAAAAGATAAGAAGATATGGATCATTTCATACACACACACATACACACATTTATATTTATATATATATATATATATATATATATATATTCACATCGTAAAGTAGTCAATCAAAACTAATTACACTTCATAGTAGAAAAATAATCTATATTAAATTTAAAAATATGATTATGAAAAGAAAAAAGAAACAAAAGTTACTGACATGATAAATGCAATTAGAACCTATAGAACAATAATAATTAAGTACTACTACTTTTTTTTTTTTTTTGTGTTATTATATAAACCTAATGTATATAAGATTCTAAGAACTATAAATTATTGTTTTACTAGATTCTTGGTTTTTGAATTCTTTGAAGATACAAATATTTGCATGTATTTGTATGTATTTATGTACATCATTTTTCACACTTTAAATTTACATTCGTTCATAATTGGTATTGTATTACTTGTAGTCAGTGTTATATTACTTCAAAGTGATGTAAATATGGACATCGAAGTGATGTGTACAATTGTATGTCGGTAAGGTGATAGTCTGGTGGGCTGCACAAGACGAACACTGAATTAGTGAACAAGATTTCGAGACCGTGTTCGGCGCTCACACGAACGAAGACGGCGTTCACTCCAGTCAGAGAGTGAGTGTTTGTGACCCATCCGTCCTCGCGTGGAGCCACGGCGAGCCTCGTGAGTCCGCTTGTGGAGATCCAGAATGTGAAGGCCCATGCCCCCTCAGAATCGCCGCCAGTCCTCGGTATTGGAATTATCGCCGGGATGCTGCCCCAACTCGCTATCACAGGCGGAATTTTGGGCAGACGCTGCAGACGCTTACGAATCCGAAGCAGTGCAGGATCATCGTCCCTTCAGCTGCGTTCCAGGTTGACAGTCCTTCATGTTTTGGTTTTTAGATTGTGTTGATTTCAGTGTCTTCTTGCGTGAAATAATGAACCATGTATCACGAAGGAAGTTTTTTTTCTTGACGTGGTGCATGGATTACGCCGTTCAGTGTTGCAGCAAGGAGAGAGTGTTGGCCCAGCCCAGCGTAATTGACGTGTATGAAAATGGCCAGCACACTTCGAGTTTACAATGCTGGTTGGTTGTTTCGTGGCATCGATGCGTTCGCATTAGCTGATCGAGGAGGTAAAGGGAACAGCAGTTTTGGGGAGCGTCGATGTAATTTAGGCAACTCTAAGCTGCGAAGACACGCTTCAGCGTTGTCACATACCAGGGAGAGAACTGCTGCATTAGTCGTGGAGTGTGGGGGATTAGCACCGACTGTGAGGAATGCCATTGAAACAGGTAAAGAGAAGCACACTGGTTTAGGGGAGGAAGTATCAAGGCTGGAGAGGACCATGGCAGAGCGTGGCTTTGAGGTAGACACACGCGTCGAAAACGAGTTGAAGACAGTGGGCGGGTTTCGCAACGCGAGGAGGACGAAGCTTGTCGCCACAATTGGGCCGGCTTGCTGTTCTTACGAGCAGTTGGATGAGCTGGCCTCGTCGGGAATCAACATCGCCAGGCTCAATATGTGCCATGGTACTCACGAGTGGCACCGACAGGTGATCGAGAATTGCCGGAGACTGAATGCCGCGAAGGGCTACGGCATTGCAGTGATGATCGATACCGAGGGGAGTGAGATACACATGGGCGACCTTGGTGGGGCATCATCTGCGAGAGCGGAGGTAGACTTGTGGCTCTAAATTTCTTCCTACATCATGCAACCCTTTCTCGAGCATAATTTACATCCACGCAGTCCTTTTCGAGTTTCTGTCACGTCCTTGCAAGGGTGATTTGATTATTGACCAGCAGCCTTTTGCTCCTTCTCTTCGTTGGTTTCTAATCACACAAGCAGAAGAAAGGAGTTTATTCTTGTATTTTTCAAGTGTGAAGGATGGAGAAGAGTGGTGTTTCACCGTGCGGAAGTTCAATGGCCCATTGCCTGCTTACACTCTCCAGGTCAATTATGAAGGTTTTGCTGAAGGTAGCCATTATTATTATTATTTTTAATTATATCAGGGCGGTTTTAAGCATGTCCTCAAGCATTGTCCCTGAACTAATTTTTACTATCACGCTGTTTTTTTTATGAATTTGCGAAGAATATGTTCAGATGCTAAAACTCCTCTTCAATTATGTCCTGTGACACCACGAGCTGATTAATGCTAATAAGTGGTTTCAACAGATGTGCAGGTAGGCGATGAGCTGGTAGTGGATGGAGGAATGGTAAGGTTCGAGGTCCTGGAGAAGGTGGGTCCAGATGTGCAGTGCAAGTGCACTGATCCTGGCATACTTTTGCCCTGTGCTAATCTAAATTTATGGCGTGATGGGTTTCTGGTTCGAAAGAAGAACGTGACTCTTCCCACAATATCATCCAAGGTAAAATAATAACATTCTCAGTAGTTCGCTCGTCTATATGTTTTCTATGATATAGAACCCAGCTGGTGTTGATCGATTAGCCCTTATGCATCTTCTTAAATACACGAGACAGGCAGTCCGTCACCTGACGCTAATCCCATGATCCGATTTCTCTACACTCTTTTCGATTGGGTTATTCTTGAATCTGTTTTTCACAACATTGCGAATGGTTTGCAGGATTGGGTTGATATCGACTTCAGCATATCTGAGGGTGTGGATTTCATTGCCGTTTCGTTTGTGAAGTCCCCTGAGGACATCAAACATCTTAAGAGTTACGTTTCTGCACGGTCGCCAGACAGGTTTCAAACTCCCCTGAAAAAATGCCTGGTTAATGAATGCATTTTGCGAATTTCTTTGTAGAGAGCTATCTCACGCACTGAAATTATAATGATTCGCGGTGATTTACTTTGAAATGTAGGTCAATTGGTGTGATCGCCAAAGTCGAAGATGGAGACTCCCTCCGTAATTTGGATGGCATTATACGCGTTTCGGATGGAGTAATGGTTGCAAGGGGAAATCTCGGTGCACACATTCCACTTGAACAAGTCCCGTCTGTGCAAGAAGCAATTGTGGATGCTTGTCGCAAGCTGAACAAGCCTGTAATCGTCGCATCACAGCTTCTCGAGTCGATGGTTGAGTATCCCACACCCACTCGAGCAGAGGTGAGCCTCGACTGGAATTTTTTCCATAAAATTGGAGTCGTGTTCTTCACAGGTTTGTGGCGTTGATTATTTCCGTTCATTGCAGGTGGCAGACATATCAAATGCTGTTAGGCAACAAGCGGATGCCCTGATGCTGTCTGGCGAGTCAGCCATGGGCCTTCATCCTAAGAAGGCCGTAGAGGTCTTGCGGATTGTGAGTCTACGCATGGAGCAATGGGGTCGGGAGGAGACTCACCACGACAAAGTCTCACTCCCGGAAATTTCTCAATCGGACACTGCAAGAACATCGGAACAGATCTGTAACGTTGCAGCTCAGATTGGTACATAACTCATCCTCATTGATATCATCGTGGACTCGAAGAAGGATCCATCCATGCAGATTATCCATGAATCCTCTTCTATCACGATGCCTAACACCTCTCTTGCTGTGCAGCCAATAAACTGGGAGCGGACGCCATTTTCGTATACACACGCCGGGGCTATATGGCTTCGCTGCTCTCGCGAAACCGCCCAGACTGTCCCATCTTCGCTTTCACTGAATCGACTAACGTCACACGGCGCATGGACCTGCTGTGGGGGATCGTCCCGTTCAAATTCGATTTCAGGAAGGACTTGGAGAGCAACCTTCTCCAGTCCTCGGCGCTGTTGAAAGCCCGCGGCATGGCGAGCTCTGGCAATCTGGTGGTTGCGGTGTCGGACGTGTCCTCCTCGTCTCAATCCGAAATAGGCATCCTGCAATCCATTCAGGTCCACGTCTTGTCGTGAGCAACTGCTGTTGTATCTTCGTCTCGACGCCGTCTGCTTGTCCAGTTAGTAAACTTTGCGTTTCTCTGCCGAGATTCTGTCTACCGACACCGAGAGACTGCGAGGTACTTGTCATCGTTTATAATGAGCCCTCGGAACGAGTTTGTCGGTATAAGTTTGTGTGTGCTTGTGCGTGTGCGTGTCTTTGTAAATATATATATATATATATATATATATATACAACTATGGTTGTTTTGTTACAAAACAATGATTGCACTGATAGAAGGGGATTGCACGAATACATGAATGTCAATAAATTGGTAATTCTGATGGCGGATGACTAAGATCTCACCGATGCATGCAACATACAGTCTAGCTTTCACTTATGTTGACAATCCAAGCGAGACAACCTCCTCCTCTAGCTTGCTGTTATAACCAAGATCATCAGTTGCCTCATACATTAAAGAAAAAGAAAACGAAAAAAAATTAAATTTGCCGTTATCAGGAGTCAATACCAGTCTGAATCCACAAGGAAATCAGTTCTATAAAAGTACTAATCACTAGATTCCTACACACATTCGAAAATCTGCCAGCGCCGAGCCTAAGCGTGGAACAGAACAAAGATTTGACGTCAAGGTCGTGAAAATGAGTTCATAACTCGCAAAATATTCCTCTATCTGGATACAGTTTCCCCACAGATCTTACATTAGATGCAGGAATGTAACCCATGTTTGAATCAATCCTGACGGGAAGATTCAATGTGAAATCATTTCGACAGCTACAGATTCACGTGGAATCCTGTGCATAGAGAAGGCGGTTCGAACAGTCTGATCAAGTAAGAAGTATTCTGTCACTGAAGAAAATCGTGTCACTTCTTTGTGTTCAATGTACATCGTCGCGTTCTCTAAATTTTCTCTTTAGCTGCTCCGTGCTTTGATTTAGTTCCAAGATGGTGGCATGTCCTCTTGAATGTACAGCTTGCACAAGACGAAGCCGCTCCTGCTGGAACCACTTCTCCACTGATATGCCTTGCTCTTCTCCGTCCACTTCTATCTTATTTTCTTCCTCTTCTTCTTCCGTCCCAATTTGCACCCTGATCTTGGTAGATTCCCCGATCCTGATCAGATCACCATTCTGAAGCCGCACCGGATGGTCATTAACAAGGACTTTCCTATTCACGAACGTCCCATTGGAGCTGCCCACGTCCACGAGTGCCCAGTGATCAACTCGCCACTCGATGACCGCATGTTTCCTAGAAACTGTAGGATCCTTGATTGGGTAATCGTTAGCCTGCGTTCGTCCTATTGTGACGCGCTTCAATTGCGTAGCATCGAAGGTCTTGCCCTCGCCAGGGCCTCGTTCAATGAGAAGTGAGAGCGGCGATTCCTCCATAACGGTCCCTCTTATCGTGAATCCTCAATTCCCTCATATAAATCTGGCAACGCTCCTCCTGTTCCTCGCTCAAGATGTCATTGAGCTCCACCGAGATCAGACTGCAGAAATTATCCCTCAGCGCATTGTAACGAGATAATCACAAAAGAGAAATTAATCTCACTCATTTTTAAAACTACCTCTACAAGATTCTCGTGAACCACACACAAGTACTTCTGCTGCAACTACTAAGGAACTTCCTGAAAAAAACTTGAACAGAAAGACTATTAAAATTATGCCAAAGACTTAAGTCATAATATTTTACCTACAGAAATGCACGAAAATCTCGAGAAAAAATGCTGCGCAACTCACTCATTGGGGTCACAATCGTGAAGGCGCTGGCGCCACAAAAGCATATTCAATTTTTTTCCATTTACAAGGAAGCGAAAGTTAGCTGTGATCGACGATAACAGTTGCATAACTTCCAATTAGTTCGATGGACGAATGTAAGGAAATCGACGAATACTGATGGAGACCCAATTGAAGTGGACGAGCTCAAAGGCGGGGTTGGGCTGGGATTGGGAAGTGAATGCAAGCTTTCCACTGTGTAGAAATGAAACAATTGAGATTCCATTCTACTCATCCAATTATATTGGTTAATGCCGTGAGCTACCGGAATGTAGCTCATGGCGGCGTCTGACATGAACTTGTAATCTGCAGCACGTGCAGCCTCAACACATCGCACTCCAATTCCTCTACGCAGGATTGAATTCTTCTCCTGTCGAGACACAATATGTCAACATCAAACACACCATTGTTTCGGAGGAGTTCCTACTGGTGGGCTGTATTCCGCTTAGCCTCAGTCTTCGAGTATGGTACACAAAACAATGTTCGTGGTACAAATAGTTGCGTAAGTGCTGCATTTCTTCAGCATCTTGCTCCTCTGTGGCAGTTGAGAGGACAGGGGTCCTTCACCATTCTGGACACCATTGAGGCTGGACGAGGTGCGCAGCTGATGACCTTGAAATAACTCTGTGCTGACCACCTCATTTGTACTCTCAAGAAGGAGGCGCCGGATTGGAATATGTCGCCTTCCGACCTCCAGTTCCAGTTCTTTGGACCTCCATATGTCGGCCCACCGTCATTAATGCTCTTTGACACTTGCTGGGGGCCTCTACCAGCTTGGAATCTATGATTCTTGGTCTAGTGGTGAAAGGGTTCAAGAATGCCAGATTCAAAGTATTTCGGTCCAAATTTGCCGTAGAGGAATTTATGTTGAAATAACTCTACTTTTGTTGCTTAGTTACACTCTGAATGTTGCTTTAGTTACACTCTTAGACTAAATTTAGTCTTTCTTTGAATTTCTCAAATAAAGAGAGCTCAAGCGGTTTTGTGAAAATGTGAGGTACTTGCTCCAAAGTTGGTATATATTTGAGGTTGTTTTTGCCTTTCCAAATGATAATGTGCTATTATATATCTTGTTCTTGGATTTACTCCTAGATTTGTAATAAGTAAGATTATTGAGGTCTTGCCATAAAACAATTGACAACTATAGTTGAAAATTATATGTCAGGGCATGTATAAATTAAATGGAGGCATTTACCTACAATACTACAATAATGTGCAAGATCCATTTCTTCTTTCCTTATGTCTACCTTGAGTTTCTTTCTTTCATCCATAGATATTATTGTTGGTGTGTAATTTTCCATCCCAAAATCTATTAATTTTTTTTGTACATATATCTTTTGTGTCATGAATATCCCTTTTTTTTACTTATATGCATTTTGCCTTTAGATATAGAATGACTTATCCTCTAGATAATTTTGACATTTTAATTTTTTTGTACAATTTTCTTTAGAATTTAATTATGTTTTTGTACAATTGCCAATTATAAAAAAATCGTCTACATATAGAGCAATAAGAATAATTTTTCCTTGTGAAAGTCTAAAATATAAATTATGATTGCTTGTTATTTGCTAAAAACCAACTTCCTTTAAATAAAAATTTATTTTTTTGTAATATGCTCAATGTACTTATTATAATCCAAATAGTGCCTTTTATAATTTACATACTAATTGTTCATTTCTTGATACTTCAAAATCTTAAAGTTGTATGATGTAGATTTTTTCTTTTAGTTCTCCATGAAAAAATGTCATTTTTGACATCTATGTGATATAATTTTTAATTTTTTAATATTGCAATTAAATCATAGTTCTAATTTTTTCCTATTTAACCATAAATACAAATGTTTCTTCATAATTAATTTTTTTTTCTATTTAAGTCTCATAGCTACTAATCTTACTTTTTATTTTTGTAATGATTTATTTATATTTAATTTAGATCTATTTTATAGAGATGGTAGATTTTTCTTATAGAAGTGTTGTAAGATATCACATTTTATTTTTATATTTATAATTGATTTCTTCTATCATTGCTTATTTCTAGCCTTGGTATATTGAGACTTCATAATAAGTTGTAGGTTCTAATTTTGAAATTTGCATGTTTCTTGCAAAGTGGTCACACAATCAATATAGATGTTAGATTTTTTGACCAGCTCTTATCTTAGTTAGTGCTATCCAAATATAGATTAGTGAAATATTGGTGCAAAATAATTTAGAGGCTTTATAGATGACAAATCATTGCTTGTTTTTTAAAATTGGCTACTCATCTAGTTCCTTACTTAAGATATAATTGATTTTATGATTTTTTATTTAAAGTGGAGATAGAATTCTATAATATATTTACTTTGAAATGTTGATATTATCCTCTTCTTTGAATCTTATTAATTGTGGTGGCTTTGTTGTCATTGTCTTGAGTAGTGTGGATCATAGTGGCATAGATGGATTGATAGTAAGACCACATATTTATTGTCCTTCAATAATTTTGTAATAAGATAATCTATGGATTCTTTTTGTAGTAAATTCCATGCAATACTAAGCTGTAAACTTGTTTAATATTATTTTTTTCTAGATTTAATGAACTACTACAATAGATTGTTTGGCTCGTTACTATGTGTAGTTTTTTTAAGATTAAGAAATTTTGATTCTTCAAAAATTATATTTCTAGATACTATAACTTTTTGTAGATAATATAAATATATCATATATTCTTTTGTTTGTTTGTCATAGCTTACAAAATTTTCCATTTTTTATTACAATTATAATTTTTTTCTAGATTGATAACCTAAATGCAAATGAGATAAGCATCAAAAAACTTTGAAGTGATTGAGATGAAATTTGTTACTTGAGAAGATTTCTTTTGATGACTTGTTTTGATTGTTTATCCTTATAAGTAATCTGTTCAATAAATATACTGCTATTTTTGTTGCTTCAAGCTATAAATATGTAAGTAATTTTTTTTTATAATAACATACATTAAACCTTCTTCATAATAATATGGTTTTTTTCTTTCTACTACTTTATTTTGTTGGAATATATATAACTATGCTTATTATCAAATAATACCATCTTTTGAACAATAATCTTAAAATTCTTGTGAAATAAATTCTCTTCTATTGTCAATAAATCTTGATTAGATTTCTTATTTATCTTTTAATCATGGTTTTTAATTCTATAAAATAATTAAGAGTTTGACTTTTTTTTTGATAAAATAAATCTACATCTTCTTAGAATGATTATTAATAAATAGTAAAAAATACTTTATACCTAAGAATGATGCAACCAACACTGGGCAACATAAATCAACATTTGTTAATTCTAGAATTTTGTCAAATTTGCTAGCTCTAGATTTAGGCATTGATATGTTGATCTATTTTCTTTTAAGGTAGTACTAGCATACAATTGGTATTGTAGTAAAGATTGATGTATGCTTTGTATTAATTATCTTTATTGTTTGTTGATCCATATGGCCTAGGCGACTCTGTCATATATAGATGAGTTAATTTGGAGTCAATATTATATGATGGTAA